TCATTGTATGACTTATCATCACCACTCTAGCTTTGTAAAGTTAGCAGCAGTAGACTTTCTTTATTCATTAGGGATCCTCTCGGTCTCCAGAACAACCTGGTTTAACAACATCCACTGCTCTCTCCTCTGAACATCTCTACACCGCCACAGGTATCTGGACCAACAGCCCTTTCCACACTTCCTCCTCCTCAGAGCTGCCCTCACTTCCTCCTCACTAACGCCCTGTACTTTCTGATTAACCACCTGTCCTCATTTCTGTCTCATTTTACGCTTTCATCAGCTCAAAAATACTCTTTCCATCTTATCACCACACTTTCCTCAGTAACTAGAACATTTCCTTCACTATCCCTAACCAACCTGAACTGCCTTCCCAGTCCTTCCCAGCTCCATCTCTCTGCTTAGCTAAGTGGTCCACATCCTCCACCCCTTCCTTACTATCTCACCTTCTAACATAATTAAAAATGATTAAATTAGAAACAATAACATTTATATATATATACACTATCTTTATTTGTTCTGGTGCCATCAGTACATCATTCAATCACCACAAAAGACAAGACATCTGAATCAAAACTCCTAAAAATCGTTCTTTTTTTTTTCCAATTCAAAAACCAAAAGCAAGGGAAGCACGACATGAACCATCAATGCAGAAAACACTGACAAAAACCCCAGAAAATGCAAGCTTGTAGGCATGAGTGGACACAGGTGTGAGATGCAAACACAGGTGAAACACATCAGGCAGGCAATTGGGGAAAGAGGGGGGGAGAGATTGAGAGAGGGAGGGAGAGAGAGAGAGTGAGTTCCGTCCTCTGGTTAATAAACAAGGAGTAGATCCTGTGTACCTTTGACTTCACATCTCTATCCTTCCATCTGGGAATAAAACACGCAGTATTATGTACTTGGCTCTAAGCTCTCACAGCCGCTTCAAATTCTTCCCTTGTCACTGCTGCCCTTGCAGATCTGTATAAATGTCCTTCACATTTTTAAGATGAATCATTCCTTGAAGTTTACACCAGATCACTTAAAAAGAAGTTCACAAGGCCAGTGCCAGTCAGCCTATGTGATTTAGTGACCCCAGATGAAATGGCTTCTGGATTTAAAGTAGAATCACTGTCAGAAAATCAACTTTGTCTTGTGACAGTGGATGTAAATTCTGAATATCATTATTTTTGTTTTGGGTATTATTACCTGAGACTAAGCAGGACATATTTAAATCCTCACCGTTGTCTTAACCTTGGTTTTTTTATTTATATATTTATTTTTATATCTTATTCTCTTTTTGAACTTTACAGTGCAGATGTTTCTTATGCTTTGTAGTTTATAGTCCTAACTTCCTACCCAGTAATTATCCCAAGAAGAAACTAAGTCCTTACAGAGGGAGGAATGAATG